TTTAATAGCAAACACTGTCAGTCTGGACTATTCTGACCCCAAACCCCATCCAGTCGACCCCCCCACCCTCTCCCCCCATTTAAAAGCCCCCTCTGAAAATCCAGTCCTCCTCTTCAGCCTCAGAACGGGGGATGGAAAAGATGAGCTCATCCCTCTGATACTGGGCCGGTCTGGTCTGTGGTCTCTAATGGTCTCCAGGATGTCAACACCGGTTCAATAAGTCCCTCTTACTCACACCAATTACTATTTGCACACAGGGTCCAAGCCTAAATAAACAGAGCCCAAACTTGCTATACAATCAGCTTATATCTATAAACAGTGGAGAAGTTTAAATTAGGCCACTCCCAAGAGTACCGGTCTTTGCTTGGACAGCCAGGCTGAGATGACAGAATGGAGCCAGATGAACTCACTGCAGGGAGTTTCAAAAGGAGTATTTTAAAGACAACGAAAATAGCACAGGGATGAGTTCTATACTCTCTAATAGCTTCTTTGGATAATTCAAACATTTCAATATCAAGTTTAATCAATTTTAACCTGATATTAATTTTATTTGTACGGTGTAGTTATGTTTAACTTAAATGACTCCCATAAAGAAGACATTGAGCTAAAAGACTCTGCTGCCTAAAGCTAAGGTGGAAACAGAAAATCACAGAGTTGTGTCTGAACACTCACAGAACACCCCATAGCTGATTTAGTTTTGGACCAAAAAAAAAGAGAAAAACTTGCCTACGCTTGCTTTCTGGCTCACTCTGGTTTGGCTGGACACCCACTAGAAAGTTGCTAATATAGGTTATGCGTATGTGTGTGCTGTGACGTGCTGGTAGGAGACCAGATCGGCCTCCCAATGACGCATTTAATACTGAACCCATAATTCATGAGACATCTTAAAATAGGAGTATAGATTATTAAGATGTGCTCTGTCTGATAGCACGTAAGAGTAGCTGCCTCTGACATAACGTAGCAGTGGGGCATGACTCAACACATGAAGCAGGATATATGTTGTCATGGTAAGGTTCACAGTACTTATGTTCTCCCTCTCTTTACAGGCTTTTTAACTAAATGTAGGCTATGAACCAAACTAGAACCAAGCACACACTTCCTGCGTCGGGAGGGCCGAGGATTGTTAACACAGCAGGAATCTTCTACTACAGTGCAAAATAAAAAATGTGTGCAATTGGTACAAGTGGATGGGTGATCCAGGAGGTGTACAGAAACTTTTTTAGTAGTTAGTATAGGTAACACTGAGTGCATCACTAAAGCTGAGCGCCAGGAATGGGCCACTATTGGGGGAGTCATGAGATTAGCCGCCCCCAAAAAAAGTAATTGATACTTCTGAGTTCAGCCTAATCAGGATATTTATAAGCAGATAATAGAAAACAGTCACACTGGAAAAAGGAAATGCATTGGTTGTCATATTTATCTTTAAATTACTGATTTATTTCCAATGAAACATCACTTTTTAAGCATTTTCTGCTGACAGGAGAAATGATGCGCCACATGCATGTTATTAGCAGAAAGGATTCTGGATTTTCAATAAATTCTGACAAATGATGTCGAATTTTGTCATTAAAAAAGTTACAAAAAGACAGGATACTTGTTACAGTTAGGCTCAAGAACATGAAATTATAATTATAAATAACAACTATAAATGTAACCCCCAGGTCCAATAGAATATGTATTTATAAAATGAAACCTTTTAAATATACAGATGTGATAGACTTCCTGCACTAGACTTCATGTTCTACTGTGAAATCCCTGTACTGTTGTGGAGACTGCAATGTGCCATTCTGGTTTGACCTATGTTGAGGTCAGGTGTCCTGTGGACCCACTTGGGAGTGCGTACTCTTTGCCAGAATACGGCAGCATATAATACACATACATGTGAAAACACACACTCCTACACAATATATAAAAAGACACACAAATCTCTGTGCATGTACACACGCACAAGCACTTCTACCCAGAAAGCACGGCATGCCTTGCTCTTTCTTACTCATCGCTGACTTGGTTTCACAGCATCTCCTGAGTGTCAAATATTAAAGCATATGTTCTCCTCTTTCCCTCACAGAAAGCTGCAGCTCACCCACGCACACACAGCTCACCCAAATCCCTCACACACACTTCCGGTAAACCCTCTGCCATAAAATGGACAGCCTCTGTGATGCTGAGAGACGCACGACTACTACAGTACATCATGTTTTAAACCCCACCTACCTCAATGTGAAAAATCAAACTGATATCAGCTGATTATGGAACGTTTAGTCCCAATATGCTCTGCCTTTTTCCTTCGGGTCTCTTTAGCCAGCTACTGTTTCAAAGATAAGTCCATTTGTGATCTGCAACACAAAAACACATTTAACATAATTAAACTGAACACCTACATGTATATAATCTAACCTATGGCCATATAGGATTAGAAAATGTAACAGAAAAGGACATAATGAACTGGCATTAACATCAAAAACAATTAGTAGATACTGGCTACTTGAGCAAGGTGACTGTTTGAAATGATTAATGTACTGGTATTTAGAAAACTCCTTACGTCTTGTGCTTAAAACAGAAATATACAGATGAAGTATGACACAGCTGGTGGGCTGGTTTGGCCAAATGGTTGGTGTTTTCCCAGGCATGCAGAGACAGGCTTGAGTGAGTGATATTTCGAGGAAATACTTTGCTCCTCCACACTAGCACACTGTAAGGCTTCCCCCATGAACAATCCATGGCAAAAGCAGCATGGATGACTCACCCACTCTCCAACAGCAACAACACTTTCTGTATTTAGAGGGGAACTTGGCAACTTTTTCAGCCCTCTAATAAAACCCGTTTAAGAAATCATTGGATGGTTACAAAGGCCTGTTCCGGTGAAAAAATGGTGACCCCCACCCCTCCAGGCGACCCCGAGGCGAAAACCAACCTTGTAAGCTTTCGGGACCTACCATCCCCGGTAAATTGGAAATAGGAAAGTATCGCGAGAAGTGAGAACGAGCCGAGAAAGACAAACCGAGCCTTTATGCAATTCCAAACATAATACGCCACACGCCCGCCCCTCCAATAACGGATTAGT